AGTAGCAGTAGCAGTAGCAGTATTGTAGTAGTATTATTGTAACAGTTTAGCAGGAGAGTACTATAGCAGTATAGTATTAATGTAGTAGTGTAGTATCGTGTGTAGTATAGTGTATTACGGTAGTATAGTATAGGAAAAAAGTAAAGTATGTATAGTGTAGTATCGTCTGGTATAGCACAGTATAGCATAGGATAGTCTAGTTGTATAGGTGAACCATCAAGCTCCAGAGCCAAACGCTAAGAGATCACATGGGATCTGTGCTGGCCGTCCTGTCAGCACCCAACCAGTCGGCACAGTGATGTTGGGACACCTGTGCAGGAGCGCCGCACTTCTTCAAGTTGGCTTCCTCATTCCTTGCTGACTTTCGCCAGGCCCCTTTAGCCAGGTGAAAAGTTGTGCCGTTGACAGCATGAAAGATTCCGGAGTGAGGGCTGTACCGCCGGCGGCGTGCAGTGGTGGAGAGGCAGACCCGGCATCTTGCAAAGCAAGTTCCAACCCTGTAAGCCAAAGAGCAGCGTCCAAGCTGAGGAATGCGGTGGAACGCTCTGCAGATGTTGGCTGCAGCTCCTACGATCACTTCGTTCTTGCAACATCCTGCAACACTGATGAGCAAGCTTGATTTTCCTGTGGCATAACGTCACCAGACTGCTGAGACCCCGGGAAGTGTTCGCCCTGACCCTAAGAAGGCGTGCTCTTTGCTTCAGATACTGAGTTCAGAGCGACAACTCCCTTTAAACCCGCTGCACTCTGACGAGTGCTCGTACCCGCGAGCAGCTACGAATCAATCCAGCGACCACCTGTTTCATGGTCACAGGGCGGCAGAGCGCCGCCCTATCCCCGAAGAAGTCAGTACGAGTCGACGAGGTCTGAGTGATGGGGCCCGAGGCTCGATTCGGCTGCCACGCTACTCCTTTGTTTGAGAGCAACACTCAGGAAGCACATCGCATTTTCAGGCCATTAAAGTAAAGCACGTTCAGGGGTTCTGCCGTTCTGCCCAAGGGACATCATCTTCTTCTTCCTCTTCCTCCTCGCCCTCGTCCTCCTCCACCTCCTGCACCGCATCTTGCTCTTGCTCTTCACCGACAGTCGCACCATCCTTCTCATCGTCCTGAAACACAGGCAGAGACTGCGGGACCGTGTCTGGCTTCGTAGCTCTGGCTGTTGCACACCAAGGGTCAACTGATGACATCAGCGAGGCTGAAACCAGTGTGTCAGGACCTGATCGTATCAACGTGCCGGAAAAATCGTGCTCCTGAATGCATACCAGTACAGAGTGGTCCAAGCGGCTTTGCACTTTCATCAATCGTCCCTGGCTCCGCTTCATCGGCTTCATCACCCGGACGCGCATCACCGGGAGGCGCAACACCGAGCCGCCTCCACAGGATCTCCCGGGTGGACTTCTCAGGGCTCAAGTCAGGCACTGCTTGGGGGCCTGAGGTGCAGAGCAGCACCTCGCCCAGCTTCGGTCTCAGAGCCTTCTCGGCCTCCAGGTGCTCTTTCTGTGCAGCCTCCGGATTCTGAAAGCTACAGGCATCGCGAAGCAAATCCGCGAAGCCTACTCGGCGCCTCGAAGTGCTGTTGATCTCGCTGCTGCTGATCCAAGTACGGCTTTTGCTTTTTGGCACTGAGGCTCTCAAAAGGGGCCTGCCAGCTCTGAAAGCGTTGCAAGGGCTCTTCCATAGTGAGGAACTCTATGAAACGTCGCAAAACCAAGTCCCACATCACGTGTGGATATAGCAGAAAGAAGTAGCTGTAGAAGCTCCACACATCTGGACTACATCACGTGTGGATACAGCAGAAAGAAGTAGCTGTACGCACGGGGGCGACCAGCCGCGCACGCAGCTCCCTCACCAAAACGAACACTATAGAGGAACACGGGCTGCGCCAAAGCGTGACAGTGCTCAAGAATGCCAAAAGATGCCCTCGGAGGCGAATCAGCGGCCTCCGCCTTCTCCGGCTCCGGATCCTGACCTCTGGCTGCAGCTTCCTGCACCGCCTCTGCGCGGGCTTTTGCGCAGGACTCCTTGCACATTGAGTTTTGAACTCGACTTCCGGCATTGCATGGCAAGACGCCCTCCAGAGCTGTTGCAGTGATAGTCCTTGTACAGGACAGCTGCTTCCCGAGGTTTGGGAGGAAGCTGAGGAAGTTCATCGCTGGGGACGACACACACTGCCACCACGTGTCCGTCTCCCTGCACACTGACACACAGATACCTTAAATTGCTGTTGCGAGGTGACCAAAACAATCTCGCATCGCGAACGGTGCTTGGAGGTCGGGAAAGCCGCATAGTTATGTAACAAGAGGGCAGCGTGTTCACGCAAGGAGCTGCGAGTCAATTCTGAATCCGGGGCCTGAAGCTTGACCCGCTTCCCCATCTTGTTTCGAGATGAGAGCTTGATGTCAGAGAGACGGACCTCAGTCAATCTGCAGGAAGCAAGGAGCGCGTGCTGACGGTGCCGAGTTGAGACACCACAGGCTGTTGCCCCATGTTGCTGGACAGCTGCAAGCTTTCGTGCGAATGCAAAGTTGCTGGGAATACTTGGAAAAGATGAGAATCCGGGTTTTGCACTGGCGGAACAGAAGCTGCAGAGATGTGACACCCGGGCCCTCCACCCGCTTGCCAAATCCGTCATCGCTGACGAGGAGCACACTATGGGCCCTTGGAGGTGAAAAGCAGAGCGTCGTCTTCAACGTATTTGGAGCACCAAGACGGAGGCTCCAGGAAGTGCTGCATGCTGGCGGAGAGAGTGCCCGTGCGGCCCTGAGGCGACGCCTGAGGAGACTGTGGTGATACCTGGAATGCGATGCGCCGTTGCGAACAAACACTCTAAAGCAGGCAGCAAAGAGCGCCTCTGTCGGCACATTGCTCCTCACATCGTCCATGTCCGCCTGGAGACGCTCACGGTGTCAACGGCCATCGACACTTCCGCCCTGTTGTCGCTGGAATGCTCGGCGGAAGGGGCGGGGGCACAGGCACGGTGTCTGCAATTGGCACTGGATTGCTCGGTGGAGGAGGCGGATGCAGGACCCCATTGCCTGCAGGCACTCCCGAAATGGCAGACGGAGGAGGCGGAGCAAAAGCTGCTGCTACATCTATGGCTGCTGGTGAAGCGGTGCTGCCAAGACTACCGCTCGGCCCGATCTGGTCTGGCACGTGCACATTCGGGTGTGCAGCCTTGAATTTTTTGCGTGCACTGGGCTCGCTGCATCTCTGCTGCCAGAAATCAATCAAATTCCAGCTGCTCCTGTTCTTTCTCGAACTTGGCTTTGCATTTCCGAAGTTTGGCCTCCTGCTTGGCCAGCTTTGCCATCTTCTCCTCATCTCCCAGGACTTCACGTCTTGCAGCAACTTCACTTGCCCCGTGTGCTATTTTAGCAAGATACAATGGCCGGGCACAGCTGCACGCGACACCTTCTGCTTGAAAGCTTCACTTGCACTGTGAAAGGCCTTTCAAAGGCCAAAGCTCTGAGATGTGGAGGTCCTCTGCCCTAAGGCGAGGTCCTCCACACCTTGGCGACAACCTGTGGCACCATCGCTACATGCGAGGGTAATGCTTGTAAGAGCATGTGGGGAATCTACGACAGCGAAACCAGATGCCTTCACTGCCGTTCTGACGGTGAAACGTCTCCCAACGTGCCGACAAGCCTCCACATTGCGGGCAAGTCCAATATTCACTTGGTAAGGCTGCCGCTGCCGGGCATGGAGGTACACTTGTCAGAGGAGGTGGGAGGAGTGGTGACTTGTGGCCCTTTTGTCGCTGGAATGCTCGGCGGAAGGGGCGGGGGCACAGGCACGGTACTTGCAGCTCCCACTGGAATGCTCGGTGGAGGAGGCGGGGTGCACAGGCACGGTGCCTGCAATTGCCACTGGAATGCTTGGTGGAGGAGCCGGATGCACGACCCCATTGCCTGCAGGCACTCCCGGAATAGTAGACGGAGGAGGCGGAGCAAAAGCTGCTGCTGCATTTATGGCTGCTGGTGAAGCGGTGCTGCCAAGACTACCGCTCGGCCCGCCGCAATCGGAATGCAATGTTGCTGAAACGGATGCAGAACAAAGCGGAACCTCTTCGTCGTCATCCTCGGGATCGGCCTGGTCCGGATCTCTGATGCACGTACGAAGTGGCTACGAAGGAATCGAACCGCCTTCGCATTCTTCTGTTGCATAACCTCCGGGCCTGCATTTGCCAAAGTTAGGGGTTTGCAGCGGCTTACTGGGGTGCACGTTTTTCAGATGCCTGTCGTGACTCTGGACACCAGCTTCCGAAGCTTGCCGAGCACAGCACCGGCACCTAGTCCAGGCCGCGGCCATGTGCTCTGATACATGTGTGGCGCCTACTGCCTCTGAGGTGCTGTTACCTTCGGCCTCCTTCGAGCTTTGAGGCCTGGCTCCAGTCAGGAACTCGGGCAAAGCTTGCAGTGTCTGCTGGCCTCTCGTCATCCTCCTCATTGTCAGAATCATCATCGTCTGCCACATGTCCTGCACAGCGGGACAAAACCTTGACATCCGCATCTGCTTCACCTGCTTGAGACTGCGACGCTTTCTTGGCTGCCCAGTAGATGCCGGAGGAGGGGCCTGGAACAACGCATCACAATGAAAGGCAGCCAGAGGATTTGCAACTCACGACACTGCGGCGGAAAGCCAAGTTTTTATGACGACAAACATGCAAGGGCTCCTACAAACACAAAAACATACGCCTGGGACCGGGGACGGCAGAAGCACAGAGGAACATGGCAATCACAGAACCTGGAAGCCTAGTAGAGTTGGAAGCTTTGACTGTAAAGCAGTGAGCAACAGCACATGCAGCTCATAGAAGCAAGGGAAATGAAGCCAACAGTATCCATCGCTGCTGCCTATATGACTGTCCCAGACTTGAATATGGCCCCCAATCCCAGATGTGATGACCTCCTCCCTGTCCGGATTCTGGCCATTCATTGCACGGGCCTGCAGCAGTCGAGATGGTCTGCTCACAGCTCACCAAACTCTCCCTTTCTGGCCTTTGCGTGCCACTCTTCCTTCTCCGAATCGCTGAGCGATTTCCAGGCTGCGGAAGCCTGAACCCACGGAACAAGCAACTGGCGCCACCAGACCGGAACCCTAAACCCTAAACCCTAAACTCGGTGGCATAGCATCTTAGCCGGGGACCTGCCCAAAGCCGCCGCCACTCTCCTGCAGAGGCAGTGGCTCTTACCAGGAGTACTCGGCCTTCGTTTGGCCACTCTCGTTTGTCGCTGGGGGTTTGTTGCCCTGTCCATGCAGTTTGAAAAATGTTAAGGCCTCTGTGTACCGCTCGCATACATGCCGAAATGGCTCATTTTTTGGCTCTACCCTATTATCCACATTCGCGGAAACATGTGGCTGCCCACCGAAGAATGTAAGAAGTTGCAAACGCTCGCTGGTTCCTTGCTCCCCTAAGCCCTACACCCCAATCATTGTTTGCATTCGTAGGAAGAACCTGGAACTCATGACATGACGTTCCTGTGTCTACCTAAAAGCACAAAGCATGAATGAAATCTGTGTCCTTCGCATGCTTTGCAAAGAAGTTCCTGTCTGTAGTTGTTGTGTCATGGAAACATGTTTGCATTTCCGATGGTCGTTGGCCCGACCCAGCTTTGCTTTTCAAACCGTGCACAATGCTGCATTTCCACAGACTTTGGCACGTTACGGAGACATCCATGGACCTTTCGGCGGTTCGTGCAGGCTCTGCCCTTTGGGCCTCGCTACTACTATTATTACTACTGTTATTATGGTTCTTATTATTAGTAGCTATGCCATCGCACCTGGCGATCAACCTGCCAGTAGATCTTGTATCATACCTGCAACTCTTCCTACGAAGTCGATCTCTTCCTCCTCAGGCACACCTGCATGACAGTGCCAACTAGCCCATCCTGACGCAGCTGCCTCTCGTTTTGTGAAGGTTCACAGTGCAGCAAATGAGCGCAGCACTTAGCGAACCTCGATTTATTACCGTTGTCTCTTCCAGCAGGGTGGCCATTGGCGAGACCTCCCTCGGGCTGGCGACAGGTGCACGGCATTCTTGCCTTCGGACGATGTAGCTTAGCGCTCGGCTCTTCAGCATGTCGTGGCTTTCTCGTCGATATTAACATATACGAACGGACAACTCAAGGTGGAAGTGAGCGAATCGAGGCATTTGCCGACACTGAAAAGTTATGCCGCTCAGAGACATGTCTGACGCACAAAAACCTGTGAGTTCCACTACGAGCAGCATGCACTGCTTCCCCTTTGCACTCCTTGCAGAAGAGATTGTATCCACTGATCCTCCAACAACAGACAGAACATCCAAGCATCTTTCAATGTTGCAGTTACGGATGCCTGCTACGTGCATGCATTCTGTATCAAGTCCTCCTGGCTTTCTCCGGCTTGGCTGCATCGTCACGATTGCCCTCCGGGACAGAGGCAATGCCACAGCCGCCAACCCTGCGTGGGAACAAAACGTTGTTGCCAGAACAAGGCCCACGACAGTATGGAAAGAAGGGCGAAGGATGCCTCCTTCTACATGCAAGAGCAACCCAACTGATTGAATCCATTGCACCTCTTCTCTCAAAACGCACCTCGACTCGCCACCCTTTTCTGTTCTCTGGCATGACACGCAGAGGCATACACCCCGGGCACATTCAGTGGACATCGGATGCCACGCTTCGGGTCATGAATGTGCACGATTTATCACCATAGGTGGTCGTGGCCCATCCTTGGCTCAGAGAGACAGCAGAGCTAGGTCTTCACGAAAATCACAGGCAAGGAACGGCTGGCCACAGAGACGGCAGCACATCATCCTAGACGTGCCCGTCTTATTAAACATGGACAACCTCCGCTGGTGAAATCGGGTCCGCCTCTTCCAGACAATGAAGCTGCCCTACCCAGGCACCGTAGTGACCGCACCTGCCGCTGAGAAAATGCATTGCACCCTCCTATCAAAAAGGCCAGGGTCTCCGAGAGAGGCACCGCAATGTGTCAGCAGTAGGAGTCCGGTTGTCCATGCACTGGACATCCTGAGGATATAAAATACTTCAAGCAGTCATGGCGATGCATTGCATTGCAGCTCTGTCGGACTGATCGTGCTGGGGACGCGGGCACACCGAAGCCTGCCGTGGGACCACGGAGGAAGACTAAGATGATCGCAAGACAGCACAACATCTGTGACGCTGCGCCTTCCCTCTGTGCTGGGCTCCGGGAGGCAGATCGATACTCCGCCCGGCGTGCCGGAATGAGGTCCACATGCCTGGTCCGGGAGCTAAAGCCAATGCAGGCAGCAATGCCTGGATCAAGACAGCCAGCTCCACTGCCGGAGGCAGGGAGTGGTAGCGCCTCGGAACCGAGAGGACGGCCTTCTACCTCGAAAACAAGCAGAGGACGTGCTGAGCTTCGGACCAGAGGTAGCTTGTCGGGTCGGACACCAAGTTGGCTTTCGCAGCGAATCCGGTCTTCTTGCGCTTTTCAAAGGGGTAGCCTTGCGGCTCAAAAGAACAGCCACAGCGCTGGAGTCACGAAGCTCTGCTGCAGAAGTCTTGCAGATGAGCTCCACGCCCCAGTTGGCGAAGGCATCGTGCAGTGGAGCCTGTTTTGTGACAGTGGTTCACCGTTTTCAACATCTCGGGCACCTGCTCAGCACATCGAAAGTGCATCTTTTGTCTCGCCCTCGTGAGCGCGTCACGCCCTGGTTTTTTGTCGGGGACAAAAACACCTAGGCATCGATCCTTTTGGACGAGCCTCTGTTCCCTCCAAGTAGGACACTCCTGGGATCCACAAGGCCTTAAGGTCATCCTCGGTTCCACAGACGTCAGAGCACCGCCTGAGACTCGAATCGCCTAAGCCTCAGTGCCGAGGAGGTCGACAGCCTGGCAAAGTAAGCAAAGCTCGCATCCGATCGCTCACAGCTTTTGCCTAAGAGGCTGTTAGCACAACGCTTCCCTTGCGCATGCCACCGTCACATCCTGCCTCCTTCAGAGACTCAATCTCCTCCTGCCGTCGCGCATTGCGCTCCTGAGCGGTGGAGCCTGTCGCCAGGCAGGAGTCCTGGCAACGGAAGATCATCGAGCTCCGCCCTGGGGGCTGTCATGCTCAGATTCACCCATCCTCACTACATGTCACTACTATCATCGCGTACACCGAAGTTGTAGGTGCAGACAGCGGGGCAGTGTCGGTGCGCACTATGGCGACAAGAGACATGATCATGGCACTGGCAGCAACAGCGGCAGCCGCTAGCCAGGTATTCTTGTCTGGTGGCAGTAGGCACCGGATTTGAGATGTTGATGACAATGAAGATGAGCCGGGGACGGTAGCGGGTGGCATGTCAACTGTGCTATGCAGGAAAATGAAGTGATTGTGGGACGGTGGCGGCAGCATTTTTACTACGATCCTGTTGTAACAGAATATTGCTTAGCGAAGCAGCGAGGATCCGTGATTGCCACGCGATGATATGGCGGCACAATACTCGAGTGATCGAGTAGCACTGGCTTGCGAAGGAGCAACGGGTGCACAAGCGATAAGATGAGTAAACCGATTGACCAGGAGCACAAGACAGAGAAAAAGGCAACTCTGCAAGCTACCACTGGTACGGAAACACAGAACAAGCGAGGTGACTTTCGTACGGACTTACCAGCAGGTTGGGGTGTGAAGCACCCTAGCCTCAACACACCGCTTGAGCAAACCCGCCTTCAGCTGCTCGTAGTACTCCTCCGCCGCCTGAAGCTCCTTCTTGGAGTTTGACCTCGGCCCCACTGCGAGTTCCCTACGAATGCTAAGAGCTGCTGGCTGAGCTTTTGGCAGGTCGGAGGTGAGGCTCACTATGAGCTGCTCCTCAAAGCTAGGTGTGAGCAAGCCTTGGGCGGCTTGTCGTTATTCCAAGCCGCGTCCTTCTCACCTTTCTGGAGCTTCTTGTGCTCCAAGTCTTTCTCTTGCTGCGCCTGGCTCCAAGCGCAGAGGTGCATAAAACGGCAGATAGCACCGAAGGCCCGAAACAGCCCGAAACTCACAAAAGGCGGAGCGCCTCCAACACCGCCATTTCCGACTTGAGGTTGGTGAAGTCCTTCTCTGCAGATGCTTCCTGAGCTTCTGTGGTGCTCTCCAGCTTGGCATAGTCGGACTGGACCACCTGCATCACAACTCCTACAATGAGCGCAAAGCCAAGGCCCATACTTGCCCCTTGTTGCCCTTACACCATGAGAGCCTCCTCTCCGGACAGGCCTCTGAAAACCTGAAGCCTTGATGCCAAGCCTTCGGCTCGCGAACGCCGCTAAATTCCCTGAAGACACGGCCCCAGTGCTCGGGGGGGCAGGTATGGCCAAATCATGGCCAAGTGATTGAAGCCCTGCCTCCAGCATGGCAATCACACTGTCGCTGCCCTGTCCCGCGTAGGCACCCTCGAACACCTCGGGCGCGGCCCCGAGCTTGGCAGTTTGGACCAAGGAGGCCTTGCTCTTCTTCATGCTCGCGTAGTACTCCCGGAGAACCGCAATCGCCTCAGTGACTGCCTTGTTGGCATCCCTGGCATCGGTGACGGTCTTCTTGTTCTCGGCTTGCTCCGCCTCGCGACCCTTCGTCTGATTCGCCAAGCTCTCCTTGTTTTCGGCCAGCTGGCTGATGAGCTCGGTAATTTCAGATGCGAGCTTTGCTACCTCACTCTCCGCCGACTCCACCTTGGCCTGCGTGTCCTCCACATCCGTCTCGTGGGACGTGCGGGCCTTCTCGTTCTGGCCCATCTCTTTGTCGCACCAGTCCCTGTGCTCCATGTCCTCGCTGGACTCCTCCTGCAGATTCTGCAAAGCTGCACAGTTGCACCAATGCATGACAGCCTAAGCCACATGAATTTGCAGGGCTACGCTTCGTTGGAGGCCTCGGAAACAACGTACGGCTACTGAGCCTGGGGAGACCAAAGTCGAAAGAGCGGATCCATGCGAGAGTGTTGTTTCATTGCCTCCCTCCAAGCAACACCGACTCGCCCGAGCGTAGCACTTGATGCTTACCGATACAGAACACTGGGGTGTTACGGGACGCAAATCATGAAGGCATGTCTTCCACAGCCCGAAAAGCCGACCTCCAGCCTGGTGATCATGCCCTCGACCATCTTGCGGACTTTTTCCATGGGGTCCGCAGAAAGACCTTGCATTTCACTGCTGCGGAGCCAGCCCAGCCGCACGGACCCTGATTATCCTTTGGTTTTGCAGCTGCGGAGCCAATGCGAGCGGCCATGGAAGAGAGAATGCGGCCTGGCGCGTGGGGCAAACATAGGCCACTTATCTGCATGCTGTAGTTGGAGGCCACATGCCGTGCTTTGCCATGCTCCGATGCCTACACCCCGCAAACCGTTCAACTTTCCAACCGGTAACCACGAAACTCAACAACGTTTTACTCCTAAACATGACAGCCCAAACCCCTGAAAGACTGAGGTGGCCGAGGCCGGCGCTGTTGAACTTGACGGCCTGTTTTTGCAGGTACTTGGCCGCCCGGGCCTCTCAAGCAGCAAGCGAGTCAAAGAGGAAGAAGAAGAAGTAGTAGTAGTAGTAGTAGTAGTAGTCAGTAGGAGTAGGAGGACCTTAGGAGGAGTGGCAGAACTATCCGGAGCCTTTCCAGCCAGGACCTCGCATTTTTGGACTCCCTTGGTTCCCTTGGCTCCTGGCCGCTCCGGCCTCGGCCTCCGGCGCAAGGCGCAGCGACACCAGCGCGGTGCCAGCCTGTGGCTCCGGGAGCCCGGCTCTGTGGAGGCTAAGTCGGCTAAGTTGAAGTCCTGAAGTTCCATCGTGTTCTGAGTGCACCAACGAGCACTTGAACTAGCGACGTGCTGAAACGGTTAGAGTTAGAGCAGGGAGCGGAGTATTGTAGCTGCGACTAGGAAGCCTACAAGATGTGCAACACTCGCTCTTCGAGCCTTGAACTGCAGCCGGGTCTGGGTCAGGCCAACCTCCTTCATGGACAGCAAATCGATCGCCTGCCCACAGCTGGGGCGAAAGCTGATTCTGCGAAGGGCCGTCGAAGCAACTTTGCCCCGAACACGAGGGGCGGGCATCTCTCGAACTTTCTGATATCAACATTCCGTAGCCTGCCTCTGTGTTTTCCACTCGAAACCAACCTTCTCTTGAGTTAGAGCTTCTTCGGTACAACGGCTCTTGCTATGCCACTTCTTAGAATCCTCATACTCCAACCTCCCCACCCTGCCCTGCCTTGCCAATGGCTTCCAACTCCCCTTCGCGGAGGTGGCTCCGCTCCGCAAAGTCGGCGGCCTTTTGCTCACACGTGGCCTGCACCCCACAGAGGGAAGCTTCAGACATGTCTGCTGCGGTTCTTCAGCCAGCACTGGTTAGTGCTGCTAACACTGCGACTATTGTTCACGGCCCATGACACTATTCGAACTCTTCTGGTTTACTTTGACGGCATCAAGGCAACAAAGAGCAACTCTTCCCGACGCAACCGAACTGCCACCGGCCTTTGTTGCGCGCCAAATTCCCAGCCCCTGCAAGCCGCAATTTTTTTTCCGCGCTCTCCCAAGTCGGGGGCCAGTTTTTGACCCTGCAAAGGTCACTTGGACAGCTGCCAGTACTTGTACTCCTTGGCCGGTGGCGGTGCAGTGGTTTTCATCTGCACCTGTGGCAGGTTTTTGGGGACCAACAGCCCCAGGCTCCCAATCCGGTCCCAATGGTCCACCTCAAGGTGGCTAGGCTTCAGGAGACGGAAGCGCAAGGCCAACTGCCGCTGAGACAGATCCGCGGGAAGGCCTAGATTCTCAAGAACCGACCCGTAGACCGTGCGGGTGTTGGACTGCACCAAGCGACCCGGGAAGACGGGGAGGTACTGTGCACCCAGAGGAAGCCCAGGGAGAGTCTCTCTGGAGGCATTGTAGAAATACCATGGTGCCCGAGCCTCGAAGTTGAAGGGCACTTCCTGCGGAGGTACCACCGGCTCCGGGGGATAGGTCATTTCTCGTTGCTGCCTTCTTGCACTCGCGGAGCTCACAAATCCTTCGGGTAAGTTTTGAACAACTGCGGGAGGTCGCAAAGCACCAGGATCGCTGCAACCCTGTCGAATCGCTGCTTCGGCTTTGGACGAAGCATGTGGGGCCGCCAAAGCAGCGTCAACCGCACCCTTACCATATACAAGCACGTGGGTTGTCACGGCCAACATAGCCACATCCCCCTGGATGAAACCGTTGTAGTCCGTGTATCGATGGTATCGGTGGGTAGCATTCAACCAGACAGTCAAGTCCAGCTTGAAGGTGTTAACCGCCACTGCAGTGTCTAGGTTATCGGTGATGTCGATAAACACCCCAGGCTCAACACTGCCCGGACACCAACCATTCCGGCTCTCGAACCAAGTCCCGTGTTGCGAGGGCCCTGTCGGATTCAAGTAACAGTCATCGCGCCACTGCGTGACGTTGGCAAAGCTTTTGCCATTAAGCTGGAGATTATACACCGCATGGCAGTACTCGCCGCACTGCTCCGACGTGGCTGCCCAACCATGCCCAGTCACTGTCAAGTGCAGAATAGCACGCTCGCCTTGCAAAAGTCTGGTGGTGAATGGCCTTTCCAAAACATGTCCGGTCGACTCTTGATGCACAACGCATACCGGCTGCTTCTGCGCCCGTGCCACGGATTGCGGAGAAGTGCTCCCCGAGTCGATGTCCACACGAGCCATTGGAAACTGCTCTTCTAAGGCACGCTCGTGGAAGTGCAGGATTTGTAAGTTGGCCTTTGGCTGCTCGTCCCGCTTCAGCAACTCCCGCCCGGAAGAGACGCCAAGCTGAAGCAGGGCTTGCAGCTTGCCCTTGGCGGTTGGGATAACGTCCCTGCTTCGGGGAATCTGAACTCCCGGGAATGTTGTTGAATTGAGTCCTTCGAAGCACGGCATCGTGAGGTTGGCAAGAAAGTGGCTGTTGTTGATTACGTGCTTTACGAAGCCCACGGGCACGAAGGGAGTGGACATGTTCAGCCACAAGGTTGACGAGTATTGCTGGTCGGTCACCGTTCCGCCATCAGCAAAGAACACTGGCATGTCTTCCAGAAGATGTGCAGGCTCGCTAAGCAGGACCTCGAGCAGCTTCGATGGATGCTGAACGACCTTCTTCACCGACCCTGCTACCAGGTCGCCGAGGACCAGGGTCTCTAGAAAGCTTTCCTCCATCATGGTGGTCAGATTCTCGAGGAAGTCTGCAGCATGTCGCGAGCGACTCGCGACAAACTGCTGCTCCGCAAACTGCGCGATCATGCCATTTCGGGCACCCTTCTTGAAAGCATCTAGGCCCTTCGGACACGCAAAAACATCTGACTCCTTTAAGTCAGCAGCCTCCGTCAGATTCAGCTCATTTCCAGCCAGCGTGCCTTCTGAGGCTGTGATCTCTCCAATTGGAATCAAAGGCTTCGGAAAAGACTCTGCAAGCATGATTGTCGTCCTTGGGCGAATGTTCTGCATGGGAGACTTTGGCCACACCACCAGGTCCACACTAACATTCCAAGCGTTCCCATCAGAAGTGTTGAAAGCTGTGCAAACACCGGTGACGTTGTCGACATACACGATCTTGCGACGCGTGTCGTTCCCGACCCAAGTATCGATCGCTGCATAAAACTCGATTTTGCCACTGGCATTGAAGACCGTCTCAAGCAACTGGCTGTAAGCAGTGATGTCGACGATTGCTTCCAGTTCAGCTCCGTATGGAGTCACAAATCGGAGGAGCTCGGCTTTATCGACTTGCTCCGTGGGACCCTTTTTTGCGGGAGTGTACTCCTCCTGAAGTGCCAGAGTCCGCTGCGAAACGATGGAGGTATCACGCTGCAAAAGACTGACGACGGCCGCGGCCGGGGCAGTCCCACTCAACAGGAGTAACAAAAACAATGGAGCTGCAAAGACCAACAGTTTGGATGAACATCTCCCAGTGCTTCCGGTGAGCAGTTCAGAGTAAGGAGCACCATTCAGGAGTGTCCTGACATGGGAAAGATTCAGTGAAGAGTCCATGTAGTGTGGCCTACCTGAGCGCTCAGGAGCCCATCTGCGGTGGGTGCAGCATGCACGAACCGGAGACATGCAAGAAGAGTCGGAACTTATCTCTTGTGTGTGTGTGTGTGTGCATGCACATGTCTGTTTGCAAGGTACCGCATTGAAGCAATGCTGAAAAGTAAACTCAGCCAAATTGAAGACTTCGTCACGTCGTTCTGCGCACCTTCACTTCCTTCAGATACTTCTGCTCTTCTGCCAGGGAGGCCTGCGCATTTAGGAAAGCACAAGAGCTACCCAGTCTCTGAGAGCCTCCACTAGATGACGAGCACCAAAACAAGCGTCGCACTTTCCGACTCCCGGAGCCTCCGTGTCCTTGGCCTGGGCCTTCTTCGTGGCCGCGGTCTGCTGCGACGCGGCCTGCGCCAGTTCCGATAAAGAATTTCTGACGCACCCCCGGCCAGAGAGATGGGAAACCTGCAAAGCACTGAAGCCGGCCATTCCGAAAGGAGCTCCTGTCCCGTGTGGCTCTAGCCTTGCTCTGCGTCATCTCCTTCTGGGATGCCTTCGTTTCGCTGAGCCTTACAGGGAGGGTTCCCGCGGTTGTGGTTCTGGAGAAGCTGTGACGGCATGCGAAACTGCCCAAATCTCAGCGTCGATGCATGGTCTTGAGCTTCTGGGACAGGAGCTCGTGAGCCTTGAAAGGTTCGCAGACACTCGAGTGTGAGGACTTACGACGCTAGGACCACATTGTATGTCAGGCTGGTGTGGGAAACAAGCAGCGTGGCTGCGCTTGGTTTCCTCCTTCTCCAGCTCGCTGCGCTCGTCAGCGAACTTGTCATCTTAGTTCGGACTGACTTGCTTTCAATACATAGAAGCCTAACCCTGGCTTCCCCTCATGTCCATGGACAGGCTCCGCCTGTAACCGCATTGCCACCGAGAACAGCTGTTTGCCCTCTGAGGCTCCTGCGGAGCTTGTCCAGCATCTCCGTGATACTGGAGGTGGAGAGGTCGAAGGCATCCAGGCCTTCCGGCTGAGGGGCTTCGTCAGAGTGATACCTGGGAACACGAAAAGGGATGCTCTTTGACCAAGGAATCATCTTGACGGCCTCCCGGAAACTTCCATCGCTCAGAGCCGCTGAAAGGCTCTGCTACCAAGGTCCCGGCATTGCCAGGAAGGAGGTGACCTGCTTTGCCTCTGCCGCAGGCAGGGGCAGGGTCGCCAAGAGTGCGAGCGCCTGGCAGCATCTGCGAGCATCTCTGAGCTATTTGTCTCTCTTATTTTTCTACATGGCCATCTCCGTCATTCTGACCTATGCTTTCCCATGTCCCTGGAGTACTACCGTGCGCCTTCGATGCGCCGGCCTCCAGAAACGGCAGGGATGAGCGCCAAAAAAGACTTCGCGACTGGTCGCTGAGGTGGGCAGAGGAGCCTCGCCTTGTCCTTCAAGGCCTTTTGGGCTCCCATGATCGCCTGTATCGACTCTGTGAAGTCCTGCCCATCGCTGTGAAGACCCCCAAGGGCCCCAAGGCTCACAAGGCTGGAAGCGTAAAGGGGAGGACGGTCCTTGTGCGTCTCCTGGTAACTGAGCCTCTGCTGCTTTCTGAGGGCCGTGGCGTTCTCTGCCTCGATCGTCCACTTCGTCATGTCGGCAGTCAAGCCTGCCCAGCGGGATACCCCGAAACCCCAAACATCCCCAAAGCCTGAACCCTAAACCTTAAGCCGCAAACTTTAAGCCTTAAACTCGATCCCATAGCCAAATCCCCTTAATCCCTTATCCCTAGAGTCACAGAGTCACAGAGAGAGAGAGAGAGAGAGAGAGAGAGAGAGAGGGAAGCTTCGGGTCGGGCCCTCGAGCTTCTCGTCGAAGCTACCGCTCGAAGCCTCCGCCGTCTCCTCGGCTTGGAAGCGACGCAGGACGATGCGAGGCTCCAGGGTGCTTTGCTCTTATAGTCTTGTGTATGCATGCATGCATGCATGCATGCATGTATGCAAGCAAGCAAGCAAGCAAGCAAGCAAGCAAGCAAGCAAGCAAGCAAGTAAGTATGCATGAACGTATGTATGTATGTATGTATGTATGTATGCATGTATGTATACAGATCAACAAATGCAAAGATATTATATATATATATGTGTGTGTGTGTATGTGTACATGTGTCCGTGAATTAAAAACATATTATGTATATATATATATGTATATATATATATATATGTATATATATATATGAATTTATACTTAATTATTCCATACATGAATGTTCTTTGGTCTATCGTAAAACATAATGTCATATAACCCAATACAATACAAGATTATATAATACAGTATAATATGAAAGTTTGGCTGCCAAGCTGCGACCTCTGCTTTCAGCAGCTCTACCTGGTCGGAAAGCTCCCCGACCTCCAAGACAGGCTGCGGCGCACGGTTCCAGACATATTACATCCATAAAATATGTGCATGTATGCATGTATATATATTTATTTGTTTATTGATATGCTGCATAATATATACATGTATGTATATATACATATATATATATGTGTATATGATATAGTGGCAGCTCTCACCCGGCCTCTCTGGTCTTTGATGCAGTCTCTCCGTCACACCAAGTCTTGTATGCCGCATATTGTACAGCTTCTTCTTGCTTCTCCTTCTCGCCTCAGCCCACGGGTTCATACTTCTGGGAGTCCAACTGAACCGGCGCAACGGGATCCACCCAAGCGGCCGGTCTCTTTCATGTTCTTCAGCATGGATAGCACCTGCCACAGGCCCTCATCTGGGCATAGATATATATATATATATATATATTTATTTATTTATTTATATTCATATTTATACTTATACTTATGCTTATATTTATATTTATATCTATATTTATTGATTTCTCTGTTTATTCGTTTGTTTTCATTCGATCGCGATATATATATATATACATACATACATACATACATACTTATTTATCTATTTATTTATATTTATTTATTTAGTGACACCTCTCTCCCGGGCCCCGGGTTCCCTTCTGGCGCCTTCGTGAGGACGCTTGCCGAGTCTGCCGGCAGCGCGAGAAGGCAGAGGCAAAGAAACCGCAGCATGCTGAGCTTCATTTCACCTCGGGGGGTGGGGGGTTTTGAGGTTCTTGGGCAAGTTTAGGGCTAGGGATCTTTCGGTTACAGAGTTTGGGTTCTCCAAGTTGAGTTCTTTCATCCTCATGGCGAACTGACAAAGGCTTCTCCAGTTGCAGCCTCGGTGCCAGGAGGGACCTTGGTGGCCTAAGGGCACTCCAGGATCCCCGGTCTACAGAGCCGAGAGAACAGCGGAAATCTGGCATCCAAACGAGCCGTGGAAAAGAGAGGCGCAACATCAAGGGCGATGCATAGGAAAAGGACAGCATGGGCTTTTGGGATGCGACGAGGCTTGCTCTGCACGACATCACAGCTGCACTTGCAGTGAACCTATCTGAGTCGTGCAACGCCAAGATCCTTGCAACCCGCATTCTCACGAATTCAAGCTGGCCTTGTACTCCCTGTTTTTTACCTCTGGCGCCAGCCAGAGAAACTCCTCCCGTGCAAGATCATGCAGTTTCTCGCAAGCCTTGAGCGTTGCCACACTTTTCTGCTCCTGCACCACTTTAGGATCCAGGAACGGATACCTTGCTTCCACTCCGTGGGCTCCAGCCTGAAAAAGTCGGGCGAGGTAAGTTGAAGCTTAGCCTTTGCAAAGTGAGCGGAATGCGCAGCTGACCTTGAGGCCGCGGCGACATGTTCCTCTTTGTGGAGATAGTCCCGCTGCGTAGACAAGAAGAACCTCTGCATAAGCAGCCGCAGCAGCAGCAGAGCACGAAACCGATCACTGTTGCCGAGTTCCTCGCCCTGCCCAGGGGAAGATAGTCGTCAAGTTGTCCGGAAACCTCATCCAAAAGCAGGAGCATGCCGACATTTACCTGCAAGTAAACAATGCCCGTCTGTGGGTATACTCTGTCTGTGGGTACAGTATATGCTCGCGTCCCTCTTCTTCTTCTTCTTCTGCTTCTTCTTCTGCTTCTTCTTATTCTTCTTCTTCCGGGCTTGAAGGAGGAGCAGGAGCGACCACGGCCGTACCGCTGCCTGCCAGGGCTATCGGTGGCGTCTGCTGGAGTCGTCAGTGCGTTGCTGCTTACGCATTTGCTGATACTCAAGAAGGCCAAGTGTGCCGGTGACGGACCAGGACTATCCAGGACGCGTAGTCTGCGAAGGGGGGAGGAGGCCCTCGTCCACCGTCCACGGTCGTCTGTTTCTTTCTCCATCTTCCTCCCTCTGCTATTATGAGATAGATCACAAAAGCATGACACAACGCGATAGTTGGCTTTCTGACTCTGCTAAGCTGCCTGCAGTCCTCCAAATGAAGACTGCCTCAGTTGGCGACTTGCTTCCTTTGCAGTTGCAACAGTGAGGTCTGTGCCGTTCATGCCCAAGGCTGTAACGGACACCACTTGTCTCCAGCAAATCCATAATCGCTTAAGATTTCCTGGCCACAGAAAAAGTAACTACGATGGAAGACATCCCAACAGACCCAGCGGATCCGCACCAAAACAAGTCCGGGCCGGGATTGCGTCAGCTCCGGATCCGGACAGGTAACAGAGCGCTCCTCTGTCCCGACTCAGTCTCACCTTGGTGGCATGCAGCGCTGCCGTGCATGCCGCAGACTCTCACACCGGGCCATGGACAATGTAGCTGAGCCCTGGCGATCATGATCAATGCAACTGGTCCCAGCTACCGACAGAGCCGAGCCTGTGGATGCAAAGTCATCCAAGACGTTGGTCTGGCCGGTGGCATTGGCCCCCAAGTACCTTCCAACGCAAAAGGCTTGGGAGCATACCTTGTGCACGCACTGCAGGGCACCAGAACGGTTCCGCCCTCTGGGACAGCCAGTCATGCTCGAGCTCAAAGTCCTCTCCATGCCAAACCTATCTGGGCCCTCGCTGTGGACAGGCCTAGATGACTCTGCATGACTCTGCTGTCCTGCTCATTCATCATGACGATTGACACCTCTTGGGAGTCTCTGCAACCCAGAATGCGACTGTCACCACCTGGCCTCGGACGTCGTCTGAGCAAACCTCGGGGTCGACGCTTCCGCGTTGCACACCGATACCCGGTTCAACTGGGGCGTAGGCATTGCACGATCATGAAGCACTGCTGGAACCTCCACCAAAACTAGCCGAAACGAGATGGCGTGTGGTCTAATTATGTGATACCGATAAAAAGCGTCCGAAGCTATGACAGGCTCGGCCTCCTCACCAAGCAATGCAAATGCCTGGCACTTCAGAAGTGATTTCGTAAGCTCCGTCAATCTGTCAGCTGCGTGGCCGACGTGGTGCTTCACAGACTGGTGGTGCAGCGATGCATGAATAGCCCCGGAATCCTGACATGGTTTGTTTCACATGCTGGGTGAAAGTGTACACTCTGGCAAAAATCGCACAAAGAAGCTGCCAAGGCCGAAGCAAAGCCCGATGAGAGGCCTATAAACAAAGGGCGTCCTGTGGATATCAAGTCCTGGCCAGTCGGGTGAATCCGAATCAGGACAACGGCTGTGACCAGCAAGGGATCTCGCTTGCACATCCTAGCACACCGAGACCGGAGACAGAGCAAAGCTGCTGCGCAGCCTTTATAGCCATAAGGAGGAGTCTGTCCGAGCTTGTGCTGCTACCCTGAAGCAGTACGTACTGCGATCCACAACAGAAGTCGCGCGAAGAACGTCAATGCATAGGGTGCCAGTAGCACATATCTAGTGCTCTTGAGCCCATGCATATGGAATACGTTCAGCAGGATGAGAAGAAGCACGTGTGGAAACCGGGCATGAAAACTTTGCTTTGGGAGAATGGGTGCACGATCCCCCCCACTTGGACTGGAATCTCCCAACAAGTTGAAGAGCTAAAAACGACATGGACCCTCATCATCGTGTCTGGCATCCATGCTGTCCTCGGTGCGAATCTTGACAGCCCGGTTAAAGGCTGTAAAAAAGTCGCTCGTCGAGGTTTTGAACTGTCGCATATCAAACCTCAACGCGGTCATGTGTCGCATGACTTGTTGAATGCTTGACGAGGTCCAGGCTCGAAGACCGAAGTTTCTCTGAGAATACGGAATGTCGCGAGGCACACAGTCAGTACCTGTCAACAAGATTCAACCTGTCAGCGTCCATGACGCTACTTTGCTGAGGACATCACCCTATTCGGACCGACCATGTGAATGTTGCCTGCTCCAGATTGCATTAATCTCCGCGAATTCTCTACGCTTCTCTGCGCTGGGGTCAGCACGCTTGTTGAAGCCAAGTCGGCGCAGTCCGCTCTTGTAGGAGGCAACTGCGATCCTGCAGCGATTTGACAAAGTCCGACCCGATACACTGTCTGCAGCTGCTGCTACTACTACTACT